GTAGTATCTGGATTTTGCATGTTTCAATTGTGAAATCCAATTATTGATGGAAAGTCAGTAAGCACACTTGTTTCAACCTTGAAAATTTGAGAAATCCATAGGCCATGTAAAACTGTTGAAATGCAAAAGTCAGAACGTATACCTTTCCATGTTTATCCATATATTTCTCATGGTCTTTACCTTGTTCTGAATCTAGAAACATTAATTAGCTTATTTCTAGCCGAGTACTAGATTACCAAGCTTACTTTTATACTTAATGTATACCGAAATTTGGACCCTATTAAAGTTGAGCCTTCTGAAGGGTCCACGTTTTTTCTCGATTGCCTAGTTGAATGGAGAGTAAACGTGGACCCTTCAGAAGACTCAGCTTTAACAGGGTCCAAACTTCAGTATACATTAATTTCAATCTCTGCAATTTGTTGAACATTGGACTTGTACTGCACCACCCCAAAAAAAACTTTAGAATTTAAAAAAAAAACAATTCCATAATACTCTCATCAACCAATAAGGAAAAAAATGAACAACTTGAATAAAAGGAACTGCAATTTTTCATATGCATACAAAAATATTAAGAAAGATAGGTAGCTTACAACAAATTTCTTGCTTCCCTTGCCTGTGTTTAGAGACTTTACGGCTCGAGCGTCCGCGGGCATCGCCATTGATGCCTCTATCCAAGCTCAATCTCTGGAAAAGGGAGGGAGAAGGGGGGAGGGTTCAACTTTAAGAAGTTAGCTAACTACCGACTTCAGAAGTTGAGAGGAGGATTTAAGGTTTTTAGTTTATTGTTGTTCCTTTTTGACCTTTTTCTTTTTGTTTTGATTTTTTGTCAATTAACTTATTCATATATTTTTCCATCCGACATGAAAAATTAGGTTTTATTGAGGTTTTACCGACTTTAGGCAAATTAATAGAAATGGACCCTTCAAATCCGTACAAGTCCAGTCCTCTTTTGATTTTGTTAAAATTTTGAAATTTACAAGCAGTTAGGCAAAGAAGGAATTACGTTTAGCTTCGAAAATAATTGTAAAAAAAAGATAATAATTATACTTTTTGTGAGGATTTTGTTCTATGTAAATAGGTTAATCGTTTTCTTAAGTGAAAGGAATCAAGCATCTTCTACTTATAAATCTTCTTATTTAGTAGCAAAAAAAAGACTAATCTAATAAGGTTTATGTACCTTATTACAGGTTTCTTATTTACAGGTTTCTGTACCTTTTCCAATTTGACAAAATTACGTTAACCTCCCATAAAGTTATCGTAATTATAAAATCATTCCCAATTAGGCAATTATATTTTGGACAATATAATTTTGTCAAAAAAAAAATCCTCTTACATCATAAATATAATTTTCAACTAATTTTTATTTTACATATATCACATCATTATTTTAAATAATCTTATATGGCATTATTTCAAATAATCTTATATTTTTCAAATATCAAGTATGTAAGAGTAGTGTGTTTTGAAATATCCAATTATATCCAACATATTCTTTCAATAAATCTTATATCCAATTATAGTTCAAGTTATTTACTTATAAAGTTTTGGATGTTGAATTGCTTTTTTATACTTGATACTGCTTGTATTTAATTAGATTAGTCTTTTTTTGCACATTATTAGATTAGGCTTTTTGCTACTAAAAAGAAGATTTATAAGTAGAAGATGCTTGATTCCTTTCACTTGAAAAAACGATTAATCTATTTACATAGAACAAAATCCTCACAAAAAGTATAGTTATTATCTTTTTTTATAATTATTTTTGAAATTAAACGTAATTCCTTCTTTGCCCAACTGCTTGTAAATTTCAAAATTTTAACAAAGATCAAAAGAGGACCGAACTTGTACGGATTTGAAGAGTCCATTTCTATTAATTTGCCTAAAGTCAGTAAACTCAATAAAACCTAATTTTCCATGTCGGATGGAAAAATATATAAATAAGTTAACTGACAAAAAATCAAAACAAAAAAAAGGTAAAAAAGGAATAACAATAAACTGAAAACCTTAAACCCTCATCTCAACTTCTGAAGTCGGTAATTAGCTAACCTCTTAAACAATGTTTTCAAACGGGGGCCGGACCGAACGGTTCGACCGGTTCGATCGCAATCTGGCCATGTATTCGATCCGGTTCATAGCTTGTGTTGATTTGGACCAAGAACCGGTCAAACCCGTAAAAAATCGTTCAAACCGTTAATATTGGATCGAATGGTGAACCGCGATTTTTCAATTTTTGAGTCACAGTTCAATTTTGATCGAAATTAACCTAATCTTCAGTTCACTCTTCAGTCTTCGCACTTTGTAACCTTCGCTTCGGTCTTCCTGGCTCCTTCTTCCTCTCTCTGCAATTGCCGAAATTGCCTTGCCCAGTTGCCTTATGCCTGCCATCTCTATTTCCTTCTCCCCTTAATGGCTCAACCCTAATCCCTTCTCCAAACTCCAATCTTGATCCATAGCAATCAGCAAAAAGGAAGCACCGAAGCATGAAGTTTTTCTACTCACCGCTGGAATTGTAAGCCAAAAAAAACTCTGTAATTGAAGCTTATATCAGGTTCGTTTATCTTTTTTCCCTTTTTTTTTCCTTTCGTTGTTGATTACTGGGTTTTGGTTATGCTCCCTCCCGTCCCCTCGCCTTCAGCCATCACTTTGACCCCTTCCCTAGCACTGCTACTTCGGCCTTTACCTCTCCTATCTTATAAGACAGTAGTCGGTGCCAAAGAGATAGGAAATCAGGGAAAAACAAAAAAGATAAAGAGGCAAACGATGGATAGAAAAAAAATAGTAAATGAAGGATTAAAGGAGCTGGAGTAGTTTATTAATTTATTTCTGCAATGAATTTGGTTGTTGAAAGTATAGGAACCCTACAAATATGGAGTCCATGCTGCCGCCTAACTTGCAATAGATCATTATTGCATAGAATTTCAGTTTTGAAAACATATTTGCTCAATTGCAGGTGTATTTCAGGGTTTGGGGTTTGGTTGAAAGTTTATTCCCAAAGAAAAATGTTGGAGAAGTGGCAGATTTAACAAGGGTAACTGGTGCTTTGTGGAGGCTGTCTATGTTTTAGGTGGAAGGACGGTTTGGTAAAGAAATCCATACAAAAATCTACAGTAACATGACAGATGAAAGTTGTCAAAATGTTAACCTTGTCAAGTTGATCAACTTCTGTTTTCCCATTGAATAGTGGCTGCTTCGCTGAACCAGATAAAAGATTTTAATTATCTCAACTAAAAAAGACAATAGTGCTTAAAACTACGCTCACCTATACCACAAAGTAACCACCAAGTGAGTATATGGTTTCAAAGGGCTTCCATATTGACGTGCTAATCCAAAGTCACAGTGCTTCAACTCACCACAATTATTTAAAAGTATATTTGATGTCTTTAAATTTCTACGCAAAACCCAGTTATCGTGAAGATACTTAACACCCTCAAGAAGCTGAAGCATGAGGCACTTAACTTCACTCTGGCTAAACGGTTGTTTCATTGTCTCCATTAACCCCTTCAGATCTTTTGGTGACAGTTTCAGTTCCCAAATACGAATAGTCTTAAGCATCATTGATTCTACTAAAATTATTGCAATGCATCATAATCATTTTAAATTTACAATTGATCCACTATAACGTGTCTCGAATAACTAGTAGCACTAATGTTCATAGCCGTGCATCACTAGGTGTATATTTTAGTTTTGGCAATTATTACAAGACTAGGATTATCTTTTGCTAAGGTGTATACAAGACTAGGATTATCTTTTGCACCACTATGGCTTTTTTTTGAAACTTTTGCATGTATGATTCTCTATATAAAGTTTCTAAGTTTTTGCTCTAAGTGCGTCATTCTCCATTTTTTTCTTTGTAAAGATAAAACACATCCAGATAATTCAAAGTGAAAGCAACATAAGAAAATCCATTAATTTACAGTACATGTAGTTCAAAAAATATTATACCTATATTTGGTTTCTTTTGTTATGAAACAAAATTTTATTTAGTTGGATAACAGCTTTAGGTCTACTCAATTGCTATTGCTCATCTTTAGTTGGGTATGGTCAATTCTTGAAAAACCTTCAATAATATAAGTTAGTTAGGTATTAAAACAACGTACCTTCAAAATGTAATGAAAATTAGCAACATAGAGATGAGATAAATCAAAACAAAAAAGTAGCCAATAGTTTTGGTCATAAAATTTTAAAGTTTTTTCTTTTTGGCCAAAAAGATGTTAAACAAAGCAATAAGAATAAATTTAATCTTATAAATTGAAGGTACATATAGTTACTAATAAAAAATAACCTCATTACTAGATCCTTCTCCCTCGAGTGAAATCCACGACTTTTTTTAGAGTAAAAAAGAGACGAAAAAAAGGGAATCAACTGACAAGTATTTAAAGCTTGAATGATGCACAACTTGACACTATCTAACATAATTTTTAGTTCTCATTGAAAATATAAAAATTATGTTAGATAGTGTCAAGTTGTGCATCATTCAAGCTTTAAATACTTGTCAGTTCATTCCCTTTTTTATTACTATAATTTAAACAAATTGCATTTAACTGAACATCAAGAATATTAAACATTCATGTTTGTTTGTAGCCGTCGCCCTTTTTTCTTCTGTTCTAACTCGAGCGCTTTACTAGAGATTAAGCATGTCGCGAACAACAGAGAAAGCGAGAAGTGGGAAACTTTCCTTTAGCTGTATTTTTGGAAAGCATGAAAGAAAAACAACAGGAAACCTCGTGGTGTGCTTCACGCAAATGGATGGTTATGCGGATCCCATGTTTTATTCTTTCAAGTCTTTTTCAATTCGGAAATTGATTCACCATTCTTCAAGCAGGCTTAAACCGAAAGAGGAGTTTGTCTGGCGTGAGATAAAGGATGCATCTGATGCATGCACCCCACATTACTTTGCTATGAGTTTGATTCAGGCTGGAAGTTTGGTCTATCCTGTTGGTGGTGTGAAGGGCAATGAGGAAGAGAGGCACTTGTATGAGCCAGGCAGCTTACCCGAGAATTCAGTTGCATCTCTCTCTCAACTCCTCTAGAAAACTCTCGAGCAGAGATTAAGTGCCCAATGCATGGGCAAAGTATTTCCCCCTTATAGAGGAAATTGATGGTCGCATCTATGTTCTATCTGGGCCCCTGCCTAGCTATGGATCTCTTGATATAGTTGACATCGGCTTTGAGGTTTATTATCCTTTAGAGGATAGGTGGGTTGATCTGTCGATTCCTCCTTTTCTCAAAAAAGGTAGTTACTCCACTATGTTTAGGGGCTTCTTTGCATATGTAGTGATTGGTTCAAGGTTGTGTGTTTTGACTAGGGAATATGCGTGTGCTTTTGACACTGTGTAGTGGGAGTGGGAGGCTTGTGAGTTATTTTCTGATTTCCCGCTTCAACCTGCCGAACAATATGTGCGACACCTAGATGGTTGCGGTCCTCCATTTCCTTTTGAGAAAAAAGCCATCCTATATAAAGACAATATCTTGTTGTGCACTATGCCTGCCTTCTATCCTCCTGTCTGTGCCTTTCAAATTTGTGATGAGAAAGCAGTAAAAATGTCACTTTTATTGGATGGCATGCCATGTGGAGTTGCTGTTGATCTTGTTGATTTAGGAAATGATTACTTTGTTGTAATGCTTTTTGAAGACAAAACAGATGGATGTGCCGAAGATCTGACAATTGTCACTTTCAAGCTGCTTTCAGAAAGAGGGGGAGATGGAGCTCTGAGTTGTGCATTGATAAGTACAAGGACTTGTAATGCAATAGAGAATGGCTCTACTGTGCGTCCCATCTATTCCTTCATATTGCGAGTTAATTAAGATTCCATGAGAAGTATGAAGGGCTAGCATAGCTAGAGCTGAAGCTGATGATCATGAATAAAAGGCAAGTGCAAAAAATGCTACAACTAGCAGCTTTCATGGTAAAAAAAAAAAAAAAACATTCATGTTTGTAATGAATAAATTCAATAGAAAAAAAAAATTTCTTGGTTGACAATTGCAAATCGAAGCGTTTCATCTTTAGTATATATTCTAACAAAGTTTAAATAGAACTCTCATGATTCTTCTCTTTTGGATGAACATAGACACTGTATAGTTATTACATTGGTAAAATAACACTATTAACGTAAGGTAGTTATGTATTTATTTATGTACTTAGCCAACAAAGAATCTAAAATGTAAGGAAAAAATTGAGAGTGAGATTTTTTCAATAAAAGACAATTTACAAAGTTCCCTATAAGGCCCAACTTAATGTTGATGGTATTTAAGTCTCTTTTCATGCCCATATCAATATATAAGGATTCTTGTTTTTCTGATGCTTTAGTTCGGCAGATCTGGAATATAGTTTGGAACGGACACTTTCAGCTACAGCACAACTACAGGGAGGTGAATTCTGCAACCGATGCCCTAGCTCGTCAAGCAAGCGCAGCTTATTCATCGGTCACTTACTGCCCTCGAAGTTTGCCAGGACGAGTTAGAGGCTTTGTTAGCCTGGATAGGATGAATTTCCCTTACCTCAGAGTTTAATTGCTATGTGCTCCTGCATTTTCTAGTGAATAAAAATGGATGGTTTAAAAAAAAAAAAGGATTCTTGTTTTTCACAAGTAGAGCTGCAATTCAAATATTAAGATGGAACAAAACGAATTAAAAAAAATAGGTAGCAGAATTTATAAGATGAGAAAAGGTTATTTTGTTTAATAAATTTTAGCTTGTAACTTGTATTCATGAACTTTAAACAAGATTTTTTTTTCATTACCAATTTATATATCTTTTTCAAGGACAACTAACTAATTATGTGAACTATATATTTAAATAATAGTTTATGAAACATATTTAACAATACCCAATATATGAACCTTTTGATTGTTGAAGATATCATTTACCTTGAACTTTCATAACATTTTATTAGTTTCTCAATAAAATTTTAAATTTTCAACGAGGTAGTGAAGTCAATTAATTTTTTGCTTAATTAGGTCATCACTATTTTCAAAGTTTAATTTATGGCATTCTTGTGCATATCGGAAATTAGTCCTACATTTAAGAGGCATTTACTAATTTAAGTTATTAGATTATCAAGCAATGCTCAAGGAACTATGAAAAGTTTACTTCTTTGAAAAGCATTAGTTTACCACTATTTTTGGCACATTAACTAGTTACTTAATGACTCTTTTGTTTTTCATAGAATTTGCATTGTTTTGATATTTACGCATGATCATTACATTTTCATATGTGAAGAAAATGTGCACCTGCAATGTGAAATGCACATAAATACTCCTTAAGTCAGTCCTCCATTCCTTTTTTTCCAAGAATAAGAAAACGTTCTTAATGAGATTGAAACTCAACTGAACAAGCAAGTAATCAATCTCATTCTAGCCCAAAAAATTTAATATGAGGAGAAACAATTAGTCTATCAACATTACAGTGCTCCCGATCAATTAGGTTGCAGAATTATTTTGACATCGTATAGTCTCATGCATAATGGTCTAAGTACTAGACTATCATGTATCAAAATTATTCTACCTACATAAGAATAAGTGATAACAAAAAATATCTTTTTTTTGGCAACAAAAACAAAAGATACTGTTTAGCCTCACAATGCCAATCACCATTTTTTCACAGTCACTATTGGGGTTCTCCAGCGGCGAATTCAGAGCCCGTGGCAGATCCGACATGAGGTCCGGCAGATTTGGCAGTTAGTCGAGGATCCTACTCGATTCTCACACTGCTATAGGGAGGCTAACACAGTAGCTGATGCGTTGTCCAATGTGGGTGTATCTCATCCTGAGCAGCATGTAAAAGTCTATGACTACTTTCATATGTTTCCGAGGTTGGCCCGCGAGGCAATCAGACTGGATAGATTAGGAATGCCTTATGTTTGGAAATTTAGGCGTATGTAAGAGGAACTTATTGCTTGTCTCTATGGAAAAAAAGTATAAAAAAAACCCAATATTAGTTATCAATATTAGTTTGTACTTTTGTAGTTTTTCTCATGAAGTCGAATCATATTGAGCTGTATTATTTAATGAAGTTCAGTTGTTTGTATTTCTTTTAGTGCTCCTATAGATAATAAGAGAGTTAATGACACATAGTGTTTTGATTATTTGAGATTGTCTGTTTGATTTTCATTGAAATTTGATTGACGAATCGATATTTTTGGATTTTTTTAATATTAATATTAAGTACATAATTATGCAAATGACTTGTGATCTTCTTGTTAGGATTATCTAAATGAATATGAACTATTTTTTTTCTCATGTTTCTCATTTGTCTTTAGAGCATCTACTTTTTTACATTGATATTTTTTATAATCTTACTCATTGATGAACATTTTTGTCATTGTTATAAGCACGAATTTTCGTACAAATAATAATTGAGCATGCAACAAAGGTTTGACAAATAGTTGTAAGTAGGGAAGTTTTCAATCTTAATTACTAATATTATCAATGGAGAATATATCATTCATTTAATTAGGACCATAATTGAGATGTATATGCAACAAGTCTAGTTATTAAATAGAATTGTAATTTGGGTATCAAAAAAGTTCTTATACTCCATGCACCAACCTATGATATGTACATAATGAGTGTAGTTATTAGATGCTTATCATGGAGCGACAATGTGATGAAAATTAAAAAAAAATTAACTTTCAAGTTCCAACATATAAATGACATGAAAAGAAGGATAAAATTTCAAAACCAAAGGAATCTATATAGAAAAGATGTCAACTATTTTTGTGTTTGGTCTAGAAGAAACAAGCTAGTCAATTCAATTTTTGTGTTGTTCTTGAGGCCTCATAAAGAAAAGAAGTTGACTGTGGCATCACATTTTGGGTCCTTCAGGAAAGCTAGCTAAAAACTAAATACCACTGCAATTATCATAGGAAAATATAAACAAGTATTGCGAGCACTACTAGATGAAAGATGCATCTTACTAAGTCCCTAATCTTCTGCAATGGGAAACAAAAGGTTTTGCAATCAATAATTTAATACGTGACAAGAACGGAGATTAGGATAGATTAAATTATACAATCTGCCAGTGGCGGAGCTAGAAAAAATTTTCAATGGGGGTAAAAGCAATATTAAAATTTTTTACCTACTCTTTTTTTAGCTTTTTAAGCAAAAAAAAAATATTCACCAATAAGTTGAAATGAGAAGCCTTTTTTTAACTTACTTCAAATGGAACTTTGTAATCGATATATCCTTTTAAAATATTAGTTCATGAACTAACTTAGAGAACCACGTAATTCTTTCACTTTCTTCGTAAAAAAACTCCGGGGGCACACTTGAAATTATATCGAAATTTTATACGTATTATAGGAATTTAAGGGTTACAGTGGGGGCCTGTACCCCAATGCCCCACCTTAAATCTGCCCACTATAACCTGCAGTGAAAAACATCCAAAGAAGATGTCAAAATACTCTTTTGATCTAGTCAGGTATGTATATCTGCTAACCCTTATACAGCCTTTGTAACCTCCCCTTCCTATCGAATAGGATAGATTAGGTTGATAAGTGTATATTTTGAGTAATTTAAGTATGTTTTATTACTTAGTTTTGGTATGTTTTATTCATTTTTATAGCTAATTAACTAGGTTTCTAATGAAGTTTACATTTTGTGGTTCAAAGTGTGAAACATTGCATTTTTATGGACTAAAGTGGTGAAAATTTCATGTATTTGTAGGTTTCAATTATTCAATCATCAAATGCAGTAAATTAAGAAGATATTTGGAGGATTGTTGATAAGTTGAAATGAGTTAAAGAGAATATGAAGTACACAATGATCAAAAGATTGAAATGCAATCAAGTATAAAAGAAAGGGAGTTTGACAGCTTTGACACATGTTGGTATTTTGGCAATATCTTGAGGTAAAGTATCGGATTGAGGTGATTTTTAATCCATTTTCAAACTAATACATAGCTCTACATTTCTTATAAGGACGTCGAAATCCAGTTCATGAGGTTTCCTAGTAAAAAAGTTGAAATACAGTCAACCATTTTTGTTGTTAAAGCTGAAACAGAGTTTTGACAATCAATGATATTTTGGTCATTTATGAGTCTACAGAGCTTCAAATTAGATGATTATTGAAGCATTGGAAAGCTAACTCAATGATTACAACTTTCATGTTTTGTACTTAAGCTAGTTTAGGCCTCTATCATCAAGAAAATAATAGTTGAATTTGATACAAAATAGAGTAAAGTTGAAAACTGATCAGAAATGAGGAAACCTGCAATAAGGCAAAACCGGGGGGGGGGCAATATGCGACCTCATTCTTGCATTTTAGTGCCCGTGTTTTCTTCAAACGAACCTGCAACTTGCACATCAAACTTGTTCTGCATTCACATAGCTTTTTCAATTTATCTCCAGCTCAAAATTTCAGCTGTAGCTATAAAGAAAAGTGTGAAAAATTGTAAAAGCATATTTTGGGAATCTCAAGATGCATTTCTTATCAACTTTAACAACTCATTTGCAGTTTGAATCCTCTATAAATAGGGGCCTTGGAGGGCTTATTTCAAAAACTTTCGAATGCTAGAAATACTACTAAAATGTAATTTTTACTAGTTTTTATTAGTTCATTAGTTTAATATAGAGTAGTATAGTTTCCATCCACTCTTGTAGTAGCTAAATATAAAAAAAGATGAGGATGAAGATGGAGAGGTTGGAACTCATGTGACAAGAGTGACATTTCTCCTATCACTTTACTTCTTGTATTGATTCTAATATTCGGTTATAATACACTCAGAGTTCCTTGATGAAACTTAATAAAATCGTCCTCCCTCTTCTCTTGAACTATCGGCGGCAAATATTTCTCGTTAAACTCCCGCACGAAATTTAACCAGGTCCAGGCAATTCCCTCTCTCTCCCATTTAGCTCGAATCACATTCCACCAGGCCCTAACTGGTCCTTCGAACTGAAATACAGTGAAATGTACCTGCCTATCCTCTGTATAGTTTAAAGCAGCGAAAATATTGATCATCGACTCTAACCACCTCTCAGCTGCTTCAGGGT